GTCACAACAATAAAACAACAATATTAAAAAATCTCCAGGGCCAGATGGTTTTCACCCATGAGTACTTAGGGAGCTTAGTCTACAAATATCCATATAACTCTTTAATCTTTCAGGAATCTCAACAAAAGCGCAACCTGGAAACTACAGAACTGTTAGCTTAAAGGACCACTATAGTGCTAGGAAAATATACTCATTTTCCTGGTAGTATAGTGCCCTGAGGGTGCCCCCACCCTCAGGGACTCCCTCCTGCCAGGCTGGATGGAGAGGAAGTGGTTAAACTTACCTCTTTCTCCAGCGCCGGGCAGGGAGCTCTCCTCCTCTCCTCTTCAGCTGAATGTGCATGCGTGGCAGGAGCTGCGCGCGCATTCAACCAGTCTCATAGGAAAGCATTCTTGATTTTCTTAGTGAGAAGCACGCAAACGCCTCTAGCGGCTGTCAATGAGACAGCCACTAGAGACTTTAGAGGTTGGCTTAACCTATTTATAAACATAGCAGTTTCTCTGAAACTGCTATGTTTATAACAAAAAGGGTTAACCCTAGCTGGACCAGGCACCCAGACCACCCTTAATTAAGCTGAAGTGGTCTGGGTGCCTATAGTGGTCCTTTAACATGTGTAGTTCAGAGATTATTTTAAGGGCTGTTAAGGCATAATTTTCAAGAATTCATTTAGAATAACAACATCATTGTCAGACATCAACATGACTTTATAAATACAAGTAATGCCAAACAAACATAATTGTGTTCTGTGAAGAAGCAAATAGAAATAAAGATCAAGGTATTCCAGTAAATGTTATCTATTTGGATTTTGCTAAAGCAAAATGGTCCCTTAAAAAGTGGGAGGCACTACTATACAAACTGTTGTAATTCCAACACCGTTCACCTGATTTGGATGTAAATACCCTCAAATTAAAGCTGAAAGTCTGCAGTTAAAGCACATCTTGTTCATTTAATTTCAAATTCATTGTGGTGTGGTATAGAGCCAAAAAGATTAGAATTGTGTCGTATTTATGGACCTGACTGTATCTGCCAAATTCAGTAGATTTTTGGACATCCGCATCCAATGCGTAATGAGTAATGAATGTATTGGCTGATGCTCAAGTGGCTACTCTGCAAATGTTGTCAATTGGACTGTTAGTTGCAGCTGCCCAAGAAGATACACTTAATCTAATAGAGTGTGCCCTCAACCCAGATGGAACGGAAAGTGTTGAGCCTAATAAGCAGTCGAAAGAGCCAAAGTGATCCATCTACTTGAGTTGACTTTGAGGCTGGCATTCCCCTGTTAAGACCTGAAAGGTTTACAAAAAGCTTAAAACATTGTCAGCAGTTTTGGATAAATAAATAGTAAGACATCTGGCAGCAATAAAGCAAGTGTCATCTTTCCTCTTCTTGATTCCTGGGATCTTGAAAAAAGGAAGGCAATATGAGATTTGAGATTACCTTTGGCCTAAATCCCAGAATTGTTTGAAGAACCACCTTGTTGGGGTAGAAGATGGTATAAGGTTCTTTCGCTGATAAGGCCTGCATTTCAAACGTTTTTTTTCCCGGCATTCACTGCCCATCTAGTACCAGTTAAGGCGGATAAGGCTGAAACAAAAATTCTTAAAGAACTCAAGTTGAGACTCATGTCCAGACCAGTTTGGAGAAAACCAAGGATGTTTGAAACTGTAGGAGATGAACAAGAAACATCACGTGTCTTGGTCCATTCCATGAAAGCTGTCCAAATACAGTAGTATGTAGTAGAATGTCTTCTGGAATATAACAGGGTTTGAACCACTGATTGAGAGAAACTCCTAGATGTTAGGCTCCTTCGTTCAATCTCCAAGCTGTCAAGTGAAGACTGTTTGCTGCTGGGTGGACTGTAAGAATAAGAAGATTTAGAATCCTTAGAGCTGACATGAGGAGAGAAAACCAGGGTTTGCGTGGCCAGAATGGAATGATTACATTAACTTTTAGATGTTTCTGCCTGAGTTTTCCAAATGAGAGGAAATGCAGGGAAGACATAGGCTAGTCTCAATGACCACTGAACTGATAGAGCATCTATTGCCAAGGCCCTGTTATGAAATACTTGAGAGAAGAATCTTGGAAGCGGAGAATTGGAACCAGTTGCCATAAGGTTCACTTCCAGATTCCAACATTGTGTCAGATAACTTAAGACCTTCAGGTGTAACTGTCATTCATTGGGGTCTAGGTGATGATGACTGAGATAATCTTCTCTGGAGTTCTCTTTTCCAAGAACATACACACCTACAATTCCCAGGACCATTACTTGAGACCAATTCATGATTGGTTCCAGTTCTTGAAGCAGGACATTGCTGTGTGTACCCCCTTGCCTGTTTATGTATGAAACTGCTGTGTGGTTGTCCATCCTTATTATTACCCATTTCCCTCTCAGAACATCCTAAAAATGCAGAAGGACCAGATTAGCTGCTCTGAGTTCCAGAAGGTTGGCTTATGATTCCACATGCCTTGAGCATTCCAGTGAAGTATATGTGCTGTACCACTGGCATCCATGGTAAGAATTATCCATTCTATTTTACCTAAAGGTAACCCCCCCGCCTAGATTGACAGCAATCTGCCATCAAGAAAGCTCTTCGAGATCCGGATTTTCTTGGACCAGGGATCTCTGCTCTGATTGAAGTTCATTAAAAAGTGTCTTTGTGGAGGACGAAGATGCCTTTGAGCCCATTTTACTATGTCAATGGTAGATGAAATGTTGCCTAATAGACTCATGAATAGATCTGTTATATGTTTCTTCGAACTTATGGTTTGAATCCTTGAGACAATGCAAACTTTTTTTCTTTTGAAAGAAACACCATCCCTAAAACAGTGTTGAACCATGCCCCCAGAAAGCAGAGCATTTGAGATTATTTAAGATTACTCTTGTTTATTATCCAACCAAAGTTTTCCAATGTCAGGAGGGCCATATTCCTTTGAATGATCAAGTCTTCTCTTGACTTTCCAACTAGAAGGATATCATCTAGATCAGAGGTTACCAAACCAGTCCTCATGGCCCACCAACAGTCCAGGATGTATGTATTTCCCTGTTGTATTCCAATGGAGATACTAACAAAACCTGGACTGTTGGGGGGTCTTGAGGACTGGTTTGGGAAACGCTGGTCTAGATAATGAAAAATATTTAAATACTTCAGTCTTAGATCTGCTATTAGAGCAAGTAATATCTTCGAGAAAGTTCTTGGAGTGGTGCTCAAACCAAATGCTCTGAATTGGAAATGATCCCATAGGACTGCAAATCTCAGATTTTTGATATTTTTTGAAGATAGGGATATGAAAGTATGCGTCCTTCAGGTCTATGTAGATCATCCAATCTCCTGGATGAATGACTGAGATAATGGATGTCAGATATTCCATTCTGAATTTTTGGATGTTTAGACAAAGATTTATTTTGTGGCCAGTCTGGCTTTGGCGCCAGTCTCTTGAGGGCTTTGGTACCAAGGCATAGAATATATGCCTTTGGTTCTTTCATTGACAAGAACCTTTGTAATAACTGTGTCTTGAAGAAGCGCCAGCTGCCGTATAAATCTTGCATAGACTACTGTCAATTCTGCAGTCCATTGGATCTTTGAATGAAGGAACATCATCATGAGGAAGGGCTGTATTTCTTCCCAGCCTAATAATGGCAGCATCAATCTTGGGAGACATATTCCAAGCTAAGGAATCGTCCTCATTGAAGTGATACATTTTTGACATTTTTCCCTGGATAGTGACTTTTTGGGGGGCTTTTTCCATTCCAATGTAAAGAAGTCTTTGAGGGCATCATGGACCTGAAAAGAAGGCTTTTTCTTTTTTAATCCTGGAAATAAATTTGAGGAGGATGGCCTATCCTGTTCTGAATCTTCCAGCTTTAGTGTATATCTGACAGCTTTTATTAATTTCTCTACAGTTTTAACGTCCATATGGGCATCTACCAATTCTGAATTATCCAAGGAACCCATGCCCTCTAACACCTCATAAAGGAATTCTGTATCTTAGATCTCAGAAGTAGAATCCTCCCAATCATGTTGGGATGACTGTCTGGGATGTTTGCAGGACCTGGTCCACCACCATCTGTATCCCTTTAAACATGTCTGGAAGAGGGTCTTTGGAGTGATCAGCCACATCAGATAGGCATGCACCACATAACTTCTTCCCCTCCAAGGCTTTAGTGTCACAGGATATACATCTGTCTGATATATGTGTTTTCTTTGAGATAGGATGATTTCTGGAAACCTGAAAGGAAGCAGAAGTGGACAGAAATTTGGACTATTTGAGGCAGAACTATAGATTGCTAACTCACAATAAGCTCTACTTCGTGATTCTTTCCGTCCAGCATATATGAGAAAACACAATAAAGAGGTCTTATTGTGTAAGGTATATCTCACGCAGACAAAGATTTATGGTGAATTAATTCAATTAAGGATTCTCCTCTTTGGGTGCTCTGGTCTGTAACTCAGTATATTGCCAATCAATCAGGATCTTATTTTGATTTCTTTGTCTCTGATCTTCCTTAATCTTTGATGATGATCTGAAAATTCTTGAATTCTTGAATTTTTTTTTTTTTGGTAAAGAAATTGTACGTAATACCATGTCCACAGCCAAGAGGACAGGAAAAAAGACTGGAAACTCAGGGAGGCGTAACCCTATTTATAAATTATTTCCCGTCTAAAACAGCCAAGTGGGTGGAGCTAACCGTGTTGTCAGGCCATGGATATAGCCAGGAAAAGAAAATTACGGTAAGTATGAATACATTTTCTGTATTCAGTGATTAAAGAGAAGTGGACTCAGGACAGAACACAGAAGCACTCCAATTACCACTTTTGGCCAATTTGAAACTGTTCTATTTACAACAACTCTTTGCACTCTATCTTTAAGCCAGTGTTCTATCCAAGAACACCATTTTTCATCTAAACCAACTGATTTCAGTTTTACTAGTAACATTTTATGGGAAATTGTATCAAAAAGACCGCTGCAAAGATTCCCAAGATGGCGACAATCTGGTGACTATGTCAGGCAGCCAATCAGAGTCAGAATCCTCCAGATACTCAAACTCTCCGGTCACAGAACGCAGCCTACACAAAATGCTACAGAAACTGCAAGCCACGATCACGGTAGACTTCCACTGCATCGATGGCGACATAAGGAAGGAGATTTCCAATCTGGGCGAAAGAACAAGTCACTTAGAAAATAGAACGGAAGAATTATGCGCTGTACATAATGAGTGCAGAATTTGGCTGAGGAAAATTGATTCCTTGAAGCTCAAATTGGCAGACATGGAGGACAGGTCGAGGAGACAGAATGTCCGCTTCCGTGGTATCCCTGACAATGTGTCCCATGACACACTTCCAGCCTACACTCTCTCCATACACAAAGGCCTTGGAGATTGTTGACCTATAAGCAAACAGCATCCCCACCAAAGAGCTTTATGTCACTCTCAATATTCATTGTGTATTCCAAAGTGCAAATCTAACACATAACTATGCATGCTGCACCCACATCGCTGCCTAAGTGTTCTTTGACTCCAACCTCTCCTTCAAGCCTCATGTTCAATCTATCGCCAAATCCTGTCATTTCCATCTCAAAAACATTGCGCGCATCCGCCCCTACGCCAGATGCGACTAAGGTGTTGGTCCATTCCACTGTTCTTTCTCGCCTTGACCACTGTAATCCGCTTCTCAGTGGTCTTACTTGCTCCCAACTAGCGCCGTTACAGTCCATAATGAATGCGGCGGTGAGGCTCATCTTCATGTCCGCCCGCACCTCCCATGCCTCACCCTTCTGTCAGTCCCTACATTGGCTTCCTATAAAATATAGAGCTCAATTTAAAATTCTGGTTCTTGCTTTCAAATATCTACATAATGCTGCTCTCACCTATCTATCCTCCCGTCTAGGCCCTTATGATCTGCTGGAGACTTACGTCTATCTTCTGTCCGTACTCCCACCTCTGATGCTCGCCTTCAAGATTTTTCGAGGGCTGCACCGTTCCTGTGGAACTCGCTTCCCTCCTCGGTTAGATGCTCACCCAGTCTCCACTCCTTCAAAAAATCGTTAAAAACCCACTTCTTCATAAAAGCGTATCAATTAAACTGTTAATAGCTCCTGACTGATTCCTCTTCTGCAACTGTCACTAGTCTAATACTATCCTTACCTTTTTGTGTCATTTTACCCCACTCCCTCTAGCATGTAAGCTGCAGGGCCCTCAACCCCTCTGTTCCTGTGTGTCCAGCTTGTCTGGTTACAACTACATGTCTGTTCGTCCACCCATTGTAAAGCGCTGCGGAATTTGACGGTGTTCTATAAATATCATAATAATAATAATAATAATAATAATAATAATAATAATAATAATAGCAAATGTGTATTACTGCCATCCCAAGGTGAACCAGATATCTCACATTTCACGGGTGTATGATACCATGCTACACCTTCTACTGCTAACCCAAGTTCAGACAAGGAACCTAGAACACCCTATCTATGACTAATTGTATGAAAATCCTCTCCCTTGATGTAAAGGGACTTAACAGCCCTCACAAATAGAGTTGAGCGAACCCAGACTGTAAAGTTCGGGTTCGTACCGAACATTAAGTTTTTTGGACTCCGGACCCGAACACGGACATATCACCAAATGTTCGGGTTGGAGTTCGGTGTTCGGCGATTTAATGGCGCGTTTCGAAAGGCTGCAGGGCAGCCAATCAAATACTGCTGTCACATTGCAGTTTTAAAACTTAAAATATTTTGGGTGCTAAAAAGTACATTAGTGGGGTGCACTTCATATCTGAGAGTCAAATAGAAGCGTCAAATACTGCTGTCACATTACAGTTTTAAAACTTAAAAAGTACATTAGAGTCCAATAGAAGCGTCAAAAAAATTCTAATTGTCTAAAAATTCTAATTGTTTTGATGCTAAACTGCTAAATAGTAAATTTGGGGTGTGTTCTTCATATCTGAGAGTCAAATAGAAGCATCAAATAGTGCAGTTACAGAGCAATTGTAAACATTCTTATTTTCTGGGTGCTAATCTGCTAAATAGTAAATTTCGGGCGTGCTCTTCATATCTGAGAGTCAAACAGAAGTGTCAAATACTGCGGTTACAGCGCAGTTTTAAAAATTCTAATTGTTTTGGTGCTAAACTGCTAAATAGTAAATTTGGGGCGTGTTCTTCATATCTGAGAGTCAAATAGAAGGTGTAATGGATCACCTGGCACCTCGACTGGGTACCTCCGTTAAAGGATGCTCCTAGCGTTTCCTGAGGACTCCAAGCACTCTGGCAGACACCACAATCACCAAACCAGAGAAGCGTATACCTTCTCTCAAGCATATGAATGCTGTAGACAGTTGAATAGGAACCATACGAATAGGTTTACTCTCCTAGCAGTCAAACTGGAACGACATACAATAAATCCTTCCCCCAATAATGAGACGACACTTCACTTTGAGGGTTAAAACAGGAACTCTTGTGCTGGCACACCCAGCCTGGTTTTTATTACAGTCTTTCACATACAGGACCGCCCACAGGGAGGTATAAAACAACCAATCAAATATCAGTTACATCCCACATATTCCCTCCCCTTATCCTGAGAGGAAACTCAATTACACATACAGTTAAAACATACTTTCTACCCAACTTTCATAACTTTAAAACTATACATCACATTCACATAAAATTACATATTCACAATCAATCCATTCAGGGGAACAACATATTTTTACATATGGATTGCATTTATGCTGGGCGTTTTCTATATTTCATATGTGCCACTAAGTTCAAACCTCCCAAATTATGCTCAGCTAAGTCTTCTGAGTAAAAAGACACCCCCAATGAATGTCTTTGGCACTATTTTGTGAAGCTACAGTGCCATATAGGAGACCAAGCCATATCCGTTTTTACCGAACTTTGAATTTTGACGCTGGGCCTATGTGCAATTTCCAAGCATCTTCGCAGGTTTTAAATTCAAATTACCCCACAAAGGCCTACCATTTCTTAAAGTAGACACCCCAGGGTATTTCAAAAGGTATATTTTGAACCTTAGCGTGGGATAATTTTTCCGCTAGCTTGTACCAGATGTAGTGGTAATAAGCGTTTTTTCTGCCTTTTGACATACAAAGTGAGTTTGCACAGTATATTTTGCAAACCTTATGTGTGCTATAACTGTATAATACTTTATATGTTGCTCAGCTATGTCGGCTGAGTACAGCAATACCCCCGTATGTACCTTTGCCAGGTATATGTGGATGTTGAAGGGGCGGATTTGAGACGCAGCCATTCAGTTTTTTTCTAACTTTGAAGTTTTACGCTGTGTCCATGTTCCAGTTTGGAGTAGTTTAGACGGTTGGTTATTGAAACTTCCCCACAAACACATACTATTTATTAAAGAATACACTCTGGGGTAATTCAAAAGGCATATTTTGAACCTTGGCGTGGGATAATTTTTTCTCTAGTGTTTGTTCCAGGTGTAGTGGTAATGAGCGTTTTTAAAATGTATTTTTTTACTTTTTATAACTTTTTTACTTTTAAAAACTAGTTTTTAAACTTTTGTTTTGCTTATTAATTTTTTAAAACTTTCTTAAAACTTTTTTACAGATTTAACATTTTTCTAAGCTTTTTTTTTTTTTTACCGTTAACCCCTAACTAGCAGTAAGCAGCACTAACAGTAAATTCCCCATTTTCCCATAACTCCCACCCACCCCAGGTTGCAAAATATATAGTTATAAAATATTTAAATTAATTAAATAAATTGAACCCCTGAGGGTTAAAAAATAAATAAAAGTTAATCCTCAGGGGTTAAAAAAAATTAGATCACAGTATAATACTGTAATCTGTATTTGATCGCTGTAGGCAGTGATCGACTGGCAGGGAAGGGGTTAATTTTTATTTGGACTAGGTAAAGGGGGGTGTTTTTTTATTTTTTACTTAAACGTTATTAAAACTTTTTTTAAGCTTATTTTCTGGGTGCTAATCTGCTTAACCCCCTTTTTTAAAGCTTAATTTTTAACTTTTTAAAGTTTATTTTAAAACGTTAACCCTTAGTTAGCCTAACGCCAAATCCCCCAATTCCCCACTAACTTCCACCCACCCCAGCTAGCTAAATATCTAATTTTAAAATATTTTAATTAATTAAATAAATTTAACCCCTGAGGGTTAAAAAAAATTGTCAGGGAAGGGGTTAATTTTTTATTAAAATGGGTAAAGGGGGGTGGGACTTTAACTTTATTTTTTACAGCAGGGGGCAGGATCAGCACTGTTCCGGCTCCCTGCACTTCACACAGAACCCGGAAGTGCAGGGAGCCGGTAGGTAAGTATGCAGAGCACATGTGCTCGCTCTGACTTGCGGTCAGAGCGAGCACATATGCTGGGCAGCCTGACTGGGTGCTCCCGGTCTGCCTCTAATACAGAGGCATACCGGAGCACCATTAACCACGCGATCACCGAGATAGCGGCGATCCAGGGTTAATTTTACCGCGTGACGACGAGGTCCGTCACCCGTCATTAAGGGTCTCCCCTCTGTGACGGACCTCATCCGTCAACCGTCCTTAAGGGGTTAATAGTAAATTTGGGACGTGCTCTTCATATCTGAGAGTCAAATAAAAGCGTCAAATAGTGTGGTTACAGCGCAATTGTAAACATTCTTATTTTCTGGGTGCCAAACTGCTAAATTGTAAATTTGGGGCGTGCTCATCATATCTGAGAGTCAAATAGAACCGTCACATAGTGCTGTAACATAGCATTTTTAAACATTCACATTTTTTGGCTGCTAAATAGTACATTTGCAGCCTGTGGTGCACTTCATAATTGATAGTCAAATACTGTGTTTACAGCGCACTTTGACAAATTCCATTTTTTTGCTCCTAAGAAATACATTTGGTGCGTGCTCCTCATATCTGAGAGTCAAATAGAAGCGTCAAATACTGCGCTTACAGCGCAGTTGTAAAAATTCTAATTGTTTTGGTGCTAAACTGCTAAATAGTACATTTGGGGCGTGCTCTTCATATCTGAGAGTCAAATAGAACCGTCAAATAGTTCCGTTACAGCGCAATTGTAAACATTCTTATTTTCTGGGTGCTAATCTGCTTAATAGTAAATTTGGGGCTTGCTCTTCCTATCAGAGTCAAATGGAACCGTTAAATACTTTGGTTACAGTGCAGTTTGACCAATTCAATTTTTTTGGGTGCTAAATAGTACATTTGTGGTCTGCACTTCATATCTGACAGTCAAATAGAACCGTCAAATACCAATATAACAATATTGTAATTCGGGGGCAATACCCTCACAAGTCAAACTGAGAGGTCAGTTTATAGGGAAAACTGTTGCCTGGATACAATTCTAAAACAATTTCCATATGTCCTTTGCAGACTTTACATGCTGTAAAAAACACAGGTGCCAACTGCTGTGGCTTTCTGCAGTAGGCAGACCAGCAAGGAGGGCAGGGTTGAGGAGTGGGTGGAGGATGATGAGGTCCTAGACCCCACATGGAATCAAGGTCATGCGAGTGACGTGTGCAGTTTGGAGGAAGAGCTGCTGGTCGCACAGAGGCACCAGCACAGCATAAGAGGGAGCAGGGTGCGAAAGTGGAGCGGCCGTCCCCTAGCGCTCATCGGCATGTATTATCTTTAGAATTCCCACAGTTATCCAAGTAACAGATGGAGCGATAAAAGGAACCATAACATATTTAATGAGCCATTTGCAGTTTCGCAGTCCAGTGACCGGAATCCAGACACTGTGTGGGTGGCCCAGTATGCCTGATGTTGAAGTTAGGAGTCACATTGTGGAATGGATTAGCAGGGTAACCGCATGCCTCCTGGTGTTGAGCACCAGTGTTTGTGCGGCCACATACCAGGACCCTGATGCAGCTTCAGTAAAAAGAGTACTGGATACCAGAAGCCATCACCAGACTGATCCGCAACTTGGAACAGGATGTGATATTCACTGTAGCGGCTGTGTGCGCTTTCGGCGTTCTCACTCTGCTGCTGCTCGCCTGTCTGCGCTGCAGTGTAACTTTGGCCTTCCCGCTCACAGCCTCATATGCGACGTGCCCATAAGGTAGAACTCAACCTTGCACATGCTGGAGAGACTGTGCGAGCAGCAGCAGGCGATAGTGGAGTTTCAGCTGCAGCACGCACGGGTCAGTCGCTCTGCACCAGACTTGCCATCCAATTGATCAGAGTTAAAGGATTTCAAGTGGACTCATTACAATTACAGGACCTCTAAAGAGTCCTGTATTGTTATTTATCGTCACTACCTTCCCGCATCGGGAGTGGGTCATTTGCACGCCTGCTGCCTTCCTTGAATGTGGTAGCCATTTCTCAGGCTCCCTCTCAGGAATCGAAACCTGATTCCCTGTTACCCGTGGTCACCATGGTAGGCTCAGTAAATGGCATCGAAAGTTGATATGGATGACATACAAATGCGTCGTCACCTTGTCATTGGGGAGCCCATTGAAAAAGTGCTCTAGCATGACAACCTGGGTGATCTCCTCCAGGAACTTGGCTTGATGGGAGTTGAGCCTGTTCTGGGTGGCCCTTGTGATGCGGCATGCCCACTCCGCATGGGAGTCCTTCTCCCCTTTCCGGGTCTCCCTAAACTTTCGGCGGTATTGCTCGGTGGTGACCGTATACCGGGCCAGGAGGATTTGGGTAATAAAGGGATAGTCTCAAATCTGCTCTTCTGGTACAGCCCGGTAAATATCCGCTGCCTTCCCCACTAGTTTGCTGGCCAGGATGGTGACCCAGTTGCTGGGGTCCACGTCTTGGAGTAGGCACTGGCGCTCAAAGTCTTGTAAAAAGTAATCAAAGCCTTCTTCTGCTTTCTTGAACTCTTTGAAGGCATTGTATGGTAGCTTGTGGGCAAGGGTGGTTGTGCTTCCTGTCGCCCTCTGCTCCCTTCTTCCTTCTTCTGGGTTCATGGAGGTCACCCTCTATCTATTGGCAAGGACATAGGGTTGCATTTCCAAAAAAGTCCTGCTGACGATCTCCTCTGAGGGTGTCTCTCTATAGTATGCCAGGCACCGGTCCACCTCCTTGCGCACTTCCTCCTCATCTCCGGCCCCTGGCTGGGGTTCGTTGCCTCACTGCATGCCTGGTCGTCCTTGTTACGCCCACCAGGCATTATTCCTCTGACAAGTCCTGCAGTGTAGGTCGCTTTAGAGCACTGTAGTCCATGGGTCTGTTGGCAGGGACATGGGATCCCGCCGCTTGCCACCAATTGAAGCGGGACCTTTGATTAAAATAGGTCAGACCCATTTCCCCAGTAACCGGATGGGACACAGTTCCAGGATACAACGTTTGACAATCTTTATTTGGGTACACAGCTTTGCCTCCTGTTGGCTCCTCCTCCTACTCCGCTTCCTTCTCCTCTACCACCTCCTCATTCGGTCAGCGTAACACCTTCACCACCAACTTCAGCATAGCCAGGGGAAACTACAGCAGGCTGTTTTAAAACTCATATGTTTGGGGCAAAAGCCCCACACCACCCAGCATAGGCCAGGTATACAATTGTCCAGCATCTCCACACTGTCCCATGGAAGCATTCAGCTGTCCATCTCCCAAACACTGGAGAGAAAGAGGAAGTACCCCCCTACCCACCCGTGATCCCTGGCCCTGAATGCTAGCATTTCAAAATTCCTGGCCTTTGAAATGCTGTCATTCCGTCTAGTGGAGACGGACATTTTTTTTAAAACCTGATGGTGTTATTGCAAAAAATGCACCGCAGGCCGCAAATGTTTCTTTTTTATATATCCCAATATTTTGGGGGCTATCCCCATAAAAAAAATAAATAAATAAAAAATAAATAAAAATAAACAGTGTTGGCTACCTCCTCCGCCTCCACTGCCGCTTCCACCTACACCGCCACGGTCACCACCTCCTCAACATCCTACTCCATATCCACCTCCTCCTCCTAGAGCAGGGTGCAAAAGGAGAGAGGCCATCCCCTTGACAGTACGCCTGCTACTGCCCACCGCACCCAGGAACCGAGCACACCAAAGCCAGCTCCAAGGATTTCCCTGGCGTGGCAGTTCTTCCGACAGTGTGCTGATGACAAGACACTAGTGGTTTGCACGCTGTGCAATCAGAGCCTGAAGCAAGGCATAAATGTGCTAAACCTGAGCACAACCATCATGACTAGGCATCTACGTTCAAAGCACGAGCTGCAGCGGAGTAGGCACCTCAAAAAACAAGAAAGTTCTCAGGCTCCTCCTGCTTCCTCTTCAACTGCTGTCTAAGTCTCTTCCTCCACCTCTGGAGTGGCATTGCATCTGCCACCCCGCAAACAGAGGATGTGTCAGCAACGCCACCATGTCCGCCACCATTCCCAAGCATCTCCACACTGTCCCATGGAAGCATTCAGCTGTCCATCACCCAAACACTGGAGAGAAAGAGGAAGTAACCCCCTACCCACCTGCCATACCCACCTGCGATACCTGGCCCCGGCCTTTGAAATGCTGTCATTCCGTCTGGTGGAGACGTACAGTTTTAAAAACCTTATGGCGTTATTGGACTGCAAGAAATGCACCGCAGGCCGCAAATGTTTCTTTTTTTTATATGTCCCAATGTTTTGGGGGCTACCCCAATTAAAAAAATAAAATTAAAAAAAACAACAAATAAAAAACAGTGTAGGCTACCTCCACCGCCGCTTCCACCTACACCGCCATGGTCACCGCCTCCTCAACCTATAGGTCACTTAGTATAAACTAGGTACACAATAGCAGAGGCTTGTTAAGGCCTTTTCTCCATGCATCAGGAGTTGAGCTCAGTTTGAGCAATGAAAGAGAATACCCTGCACTCCAACCCTCTCTCAAATGGATAATTCTGTTGATCCTCCTGATAGCCATGCTTTAGATTTTGATTTATGTTCTTCCAAAGCTAAAATCAAAGATTCCATCTAGTGCTATTTTATGGCTCAGCTGTATTTTTAATTTTTAGGTATTTTATTTTAAGTGATTTCCCTATCCACATTTGTTTGCCGGGCACTTGTCCTACTCTTACCCCCATTTTACTTCCTTTTGCAGCCCTCTAGCCCTTTCCAGGACTTTTTAGATGCATTTTTGTGCCCAAAAGTTTGGGTCCCCATTGACTTCATTGGGGTTCGGGGTCAAATTCGGGGTTAAGTTCGATACCGAACCCGGACTTTTTTTTCGAAGTTCGGCCGAACCCGAACATCCAAGTGTCCGCTCAACTCTAGTGTATAGTTCTGTGATTGTGTGTGTATGATTATGTGTGTGGTTATGAGTGCATATGTATATACATGTGTATTTGTTTAGTAGATAGCTCCCTAAATTGCTATCCTTACATATGACAATCCCACATGAGGATAACAAATCCTAACAAATTAATAAGAGTTATCTAAATAAAACAATTAAGGAAAAGGGTTTTTGACGTTTTATTATATAAATAATTTATCTTATAGATTTTATGTGTGGCCCAAGTCAAATCCACTGCGTTTAATGCGGCCCAGGGAAGCCAAAAGGTTGGACACCCATGCTCTATAGCAAAAAACAATGTCTGTGGAAGTGGAAATCATCACTACAAATACAATTTTCTGAAACAGTATACAGTGATATATCAAATAGGTAATTAAAGCTTATTAAATTTTGTCCCTTAGTGACTTTAATTTAGAAATAGCCTAACTACAGTTTTTAATTTTAATTTTCTAGGAGATTTTTCCTTAAGGCATTGTACCAAAGGAAAAAAAGCAGAGGTACTGTTTTAGACTATTTGTATGAATGTCAATTCATCTAAGGCATGTACAAGTTTAGATTGAAAACCTAGGGTGGGACTCAGAATATCTACAAAATAAGATTTTTTTTCCCCTGCTTCAGCCCAAGCTATTTATACAAATTTGATATACCTTTGTTTGGGTTTAAGAGCCTAGGAAATATGGATGTTTCTGGGTTAAGTGAGAGTTTAATTTATATCATTGAGTACAGGGAATTGTTTAACTCCAGGTATATATGTAGGTTGGGTTGAAACAGTCACCTCCACCTGTCAAGGCACTGGAATCCTGTAGCCTCCAGCCCTCAGGCCAAAGGGATGACCCGTAGGACTGGTAGTCGAGAATGTCAGTCCCAGTGTTTCCATTAAGGTAAGTGTCTCTGCCATTGATGTGAGAGCATAAGGTGTCCCATTATGATTCACCAACAGAGATCCATTAACCTTGCATCTTTAGGCAATGCTCGCAGCGCCTAGCTGACTTGCAGCTTGACTAAATGACTTACACCAAAAGAAAGTGGTTCTTGAAAGGTCTTGGAAGAAGGATAATGGTGAGTCCTCAAAAGTCAGGTGTTTTACCTGTCAATTCTGTCATGATTAGGATCTTGTCCTGTATTGTCAAGCATCTGAAGATGACATCTCGGACCATGTTAGGTGATGTTTTGTTGGCGCCGGATATTTGGTAAACTCCATCTATTTTTTTCCACAGCATGAAGGTAAAATGGTAGCCAGTAGGCATCATGTATAATAAGGACGTTCCTTTGTCGAGATTGTGGTGGGGATGCCTCAAATGTTAATGTGGGTTCTGCGCTGATGGTCCTCCATGGCTGTCAATTGACCCGATAGGGCTCTTTTGGTGGGTTGGGGTGCTGTACCGATTCTTGAAGGTAAGACAGGTTAGCCTGTACATCGATAATGCCCTCTTTGTAGGAAGATCAGTTGATCTTTGACAGCTTGCACATTGGTTTTGATGAGAGACACATCCACAGCTAATAATCCACCAGCAAGACCTTTAGATCATGCTTGGTCTTTGGAGCTGAGCTGTCAGAGGACTCTAGAGGTAAGAGTTGCATTTTACAGGACTCTGGAGAGGTCTCTGGCCCCTTCAGCTCAGCTGTAGAGACTTGTGTGGTAGCATGCTGGTCTTCTCCGGGAGGTGGTCTCGGCTGTACAGGCCTTTGTAACATGGACCCAATGTCCTTGCCCTCCGTTGTGGCTTTCTGTTTTTTGTGAGCTGGCATGTGGGCTGGAGAAGAAGATGTCATTGGAGGTGAAGGAGCCCTGCTCTCTACCATAGAGTGCTTGCAGGCCCAGGAGTGTTGGCATGGGGTAGACCCTAATCTTGCGCCTCTATTTGGGCTGGGTTGGGGTGAAAAAAAAGTCATCTATCAATGTAAGTTGCCAAGTAGAGTCAAAGAACAGTTTTTTAAGGCTGGATGGGCTGCAAATTTGTGGTTATTGGCAGGATTGGGAAAATACCAGAATAGCTTTACAAAATGACGCCTGCTCAGGTTGGCTATCAAGCTCCGCAACTCACTTAAAATTTTTCTTAATACAGATATAGAATAATCTAATTTTGGCAACCTATACAACATTCCAAAAATGTTGTGTAGCCATTAAGCCAGGAAACATTGTAGCTGTGTTTTTATGTCAACATAGGCAGCAATGTAACCAATAAAGGGAAAGGAGTAGCAGTAAGAAAATCCATAAATATGTTTTTTTTATTTATAAATATATTTATAATATAGATTTAATTTACTG